TGGAAATCTTGTCATTATCTTTGTCGTAACTCAACGTCATGAATACACCGATTATCAAACAGATGCACTCAATAACTAACGCGCTGTACTTTTGACTGCCGAAAAATGTTTGCACAAGGCAAACGTGACTAAACACAAACTTTTAATGGTGCTGTGTGTTAATCACAGGAAGTGCATCAGTGCGTTCAGTATTCAAATTGGAAATTGATCTTCAAGGCTTCGAGGACAAATTCAGCTCATGAAGACGACTATTTGAGGCCTGAATTGCATGCAATGTAATCTGGCTTGGATAGTCGCCTAAGTTGAGAGAAAGTGGTCAGTGGTGGTGGTGGCAAAAATTTAATTGAATTTTATTTGTAGCATCTCTTAACGGAGGTGAGTCAAAATCTCGTAGTGATTTTGAGTCACTCTGGTTTCTCTTGATTTCAAGGAGGTAGAGACGCAACTTCTACGGGCAGTTGAGTTCTAGACAATGATGATCACTAAGTACACGTGGATTTTTTACGTTGTGTAGGGACATGTCGATTTTCGCGAAAGGAAACTCAAGGTCATTATCACAAATTGTAGCTCCAGATTGGGTAGTGGGTAGACATTCGGTTGCTGGGCTCCCACATGGTTATTTAGCCCAAGTCCATAATCAGGAGTCAACCAATCGAATTTACGCAATCAATTAACTCGTAGCCAATGAGGACAGTGTTCGTGAGTCGGTTGGAAATCGATAATCAAGGCGGCGATGGAATTGATCACCAGACAGAGTGAACGATAAACCTGTGGAAATTTGTCGACGTGATCCACCGATCGTTAAGACACACTCGGTCTCAACTCATTAAAAGTGCCGTCAGTGATGACACCTACGTGGAGAACATTGGAACATGTAAGATCGCTTAAATCCATCAGGTCGATTGGAGTCCTTTCAAATATTATTTAAAATTCTCACAAAATCGACGCGTTAAATTTTGTGAACCCGAATTTCACTGCTGAAGGAAGTGAGAGAGCACGAATAGTCGGATAACAGTTGTAATGGCGTTAAAAATTTACCCTATTTGTTTCCATGCAATTCTGGCGGATTTTGCATCATCTCCACCAATCAGTCCACAGGCCATGGGACCTCGCAAGCAGGAGGGAAAATATTCCACTTTCTTACGCGCCAACCTTCAACCTTTGTCGTGTTTTGCGACCTACCTGTTCGCCCTCCCCCCTTCTCCCAGGTTTCGTGGTTGGCGTGATCGTTTGGATTACCCGCTGTGACCGAACGAGCCAATGATGGTATCTCTCGCGACTTCCGTGCAGTCAAAGCGAAAGACCGTGTGCGCGATAATCTACCACGTTTTTACAAGATATTTTCACTAATTCAACCGTCAGTTCTGCATTTTTAGCGGTGACAAGCACATCGACACATTCTTAAGAGGACACCACTGCGCATAATAATCCCCGAAGCTGCAGGATCTGCCCCAAGTTCACCATGACATGCAAGCATCATCTTGTTTCCGCAAAGGTCACCAATACCGATGAACGTCCATGTCCGAATTAGTTGAAATTTTCCACCCGAAATTGACGGAATTCCCAGTAATTTCGTTGGATTTGGCTATGGACTTAATCATAGCTAACACTGCTGTAGATTGTAGGGCACTTGAAGTAAGTAAAATAAAAACAGTTCACAAAATCAGTCAAACAGTCAATAAATGATTAGTTGTTGGACAGCAATTTGCAGCAATTACCATGACATTCCACCTAATTGGCATAGTTGAGTTAAATCTTGCGTCGTCATGTCGCTAGCCAATCAAACATGGTGTTGTACTTGGGAGGAACAATTGCCAACTGGCAAATACGTCTTGCCGTTTGTGCGTACGCTGAGCTGCAGCTGATTTAACAAGCATTGAAATCGACCGATAAAGTGTCTCTGGTGAGGAATCGAGTGTCAATCATTCGTACGATATGTGACCACGCCAAAGCCATGAAACCCAGTTGGCAAAGTATTTAAGTCTAGAGGGTTCAAAATGTGCACAATTGACAACTGTAATGCACCTTCTACCTGTAATGTGCTATTTTCATTTGATCGATTCAACATCGCCTATTTCAACATTGATGGACACCCAGCCATTGATAACTGCATCCACAGACTTCGTTTAACCAATTTATCGGTTGCAGGTTACCAAGCTTTAAAACACACAACTAAGGCGGTTACCTCAACTTAAACAATTTGATGAATTTGATGTCATAGCACAAGTACTTGACCTTGAAAGGAATGATCGGAATGTTATGGATCAATCACCCTGAGTAAAGTACAAAGCAATAACACACACACGCACGTCCTCAAGTACCATCATAATCGCCTTATATTTGACGATTTTGACGTAATGCTGTGCACTGCCAAACTCATCTCTCGAACAATCAGCGAATTGCAGGGTGTGTGCCCACCAAATATGTTCACGCACTGATCCTTTATAAACAGCGCGCACCACAGTGCATGTCAGACCTCTGCAGCACACACCGAAACTATGGGAGACGATGAAATTGTGGCTCTGATTGTGGACAACGGCTCCGGCATGTGCAAAGCCGGTTTTGCCGGAGACGATGCCCCCCGTGCTGTCTTCCCCTCCATCGTTGGTCGTCCGCGTCAACAGGTTTGTGTCCACCCCACCCCCATTTTCTGCTTTCTTTGCTTTCACCAGAAGCTCTGAGTCGCATCTTCTGTACGTAATAAGATCTATCACTTGCCGACTACATCATACTGGTATTGATTACCTATTAACGCTTTTGCAGGCTTCCTAATGGGTTACTCACTTTGCTTGCGGTCCATAATGCCACCATTAAGGTTCAGCTAGACGGCATCAGTGCCGGTTTTCCATCATTCCACCTGGTTAGGACACTCGTTTTTCTGAAACGTCGAGATGATCAAGACGTTTCAAAACTACCACTAGTTGCCTCGAATATATCTGGTCGGTCATTTAGCCAATGGCAGATAAATTAGTTTTAAGTGCATCATTTTCCACATCTTGAGTCCCTACACATAGTTAGATGCATCAAGAAAACCAATTTTTCGATAGGGATTTAGAGGAGGCAGTATAGACTGATCTTTATCTGCTTGCTTACATGTGAGCATTCCTTGGCAAGTGGTATTCGCCAGGGCGCAGCCGTAAGACGAAAAGGTGGCAGACACAATAGAGACCTG